TGTGTGTGTGTGTGTGTGTGTGTGAAGAGACCCCCTTTATGTCCTATTGTAGCTGTGGAATTTCAATATTGCAGTGTTATTTGATCTTTACCCTCGAGGGGGGTTGGGGGGGTCGGTTGTGTGCAAAAGTTAGTGCATGTGTAGGAGCGCACAACTCCATGATTTTGGATAATTGAACATTCTGTAGGCATTGTTCACTTTATTTGTGCGTGTGTAGGGTCGGTGATCTACAGAAGGCTCAGAGCCTCTTGTTTTACCTCAGGACCTGAATCTGAGACATTTAATCTCTTCCTGGGTGTGACAGACCAACGCTTATTAAAACATATTAATTCTCCTTATTCTGGTTCCTTTTAAAAGCAAGACACACCCACGCAAGTCCTTCTCCCCGAGGAGTCACCTTAGGAGATGGCATAAATGCTAGAATACTGAACGAATAGCACCTTAATTAGGATTTAATCTTAATTTGAATAAAAAATGAAATGTCACTTGTCATTGTGCGTGTTAAGAATATATTAGATTTTCTGTTTATTCCTGCTCCCTAAACTGATTCTCTGATTTTGACTGAATTAAATAGTAAACCACACAATTAGAACATTGTTCTGTCAGTATCCACTGACTTTCATGAGTCGACACCCGAGTGAAAACTAAGAAAAATGTTAAATGCCCATATTTGTTTCATACACTACACATCTTTTGAAGGTGCTTTCTGTTTATCTTGAAACTCAACACAGTTCTAAGTTGATCTTTTAAAAATCTACTTTGATTTGGGGACTTGGATTCTATAAACTGAGGGTTTCTTTAAACCACCTACATTACACAACTGCTGTAAAATACTGCCCTCTGCTGTCAGATACTGTATCCTGCATCATAGTTGAACGAAAGCTGTTGCTCTTCAGCCTGACTGCAGATCAGCTGCTGAAGATGTTTCTTTTCTTGGATTAACCAACATTAACAAAGACTAACTGGACTATAAATATTCATCAGTGCTGGATACCTTTAGTATGTGCGAGTAGTTATATGTAATTGAACGCTTTTAGTATTTCCACCTTGTGTTACTGTTAAAGAAATATTTTAAATTTTGAAAATAAATGCTGATCTGTAACAAAGTGAAAAGAGATCTTCTCTTCCTCTGGCTCATCAACATTCTGTGTTTTAAACACCTTGTGTTGTGTTCATTAGATAATTGTGGAGTTGATATTAAATATTCCTGTTATTATTATCAGGTGGAGCAGACCAGTCGACCGCTCATGGTTTTGTTCCTGATGAAATACCTGATGATGCTGGTGGTGGGGATTCCCTCTGTGTTCTGGGTGGGCAGTAAGAAGACCTGTTTCGAATGGGCCAGCTTCCTGCACGGGCGCAGACGCAAAGAGTAAGTTTTTGTTTTGTTTTCAGTCCTGCTGTTCAATGAGCTATGGTGACATGTGTGTCCTCCTCACTTCGATAACAGCACATTAACCCTCCTCCTCCTCTCCTGTCCTATTGTTTCTTTCTTTCCTCTCTGTCTGCACGCCTTGTGCTGCTCTGTCCCTCTAACCCTAAACCCTGCACCGCTCCTCCTCTCCATGTCTTCATGTCTCTCTTCTGTCCCACTGCTCTCCTCCAATTCTCTGCCCCCCCACTCCCCTCTTCCCTCTCTTCAAACTCTTTGTCTGCTGTTTGTGGATCTGTCCTGTTTCCCATGCTCCTTCTCCCTTGTCTCTCCTCCTTCAAATCCCACCTCTGCCCTCTCTTCTATCTGCAGCAGTGGGGTGAATGAGTCTCGCCAGGTTCTGCAGGAGCAGCCCGACTTTGCTCAGTCTCTGCTGCGTGAACCCAACACCCCTGTTATTAGGAAGTCCAGAGGAACATCCACTCAGGTAGGGCTGCAAACACACAGCAGTGATACAGTGGTGTCGCAAACAAACAAAAATCATTGTAATATTTACTGTGGAAGTAAGAAAACAAGCAGGATTTGTATCAGTAGTTGGAACAATTATATGTGGTTCTGTGAGTAATTCTGTGAATCCTCAGAATGGTCTTTGTCTGTGCTGGCACGAACTTGATGAAGACTCGATCTGACTGAAACTAAGACCAGAAGCTCTTTATTGTTGTTTTATCATTATCCATTAATGTCCATTAGTTCCGCAGGATAAATTGGGGAGTCATTCCTTCTTCCTTTCGGGCCTTGTGCATCACAGGATGAGCACGGACACTTATTGGTGCAGTCAGATAAAGTAGTTATTAACCAAGTAAAGTTTTATTATTATTTTTATATTTGAAACAAACAATATTTAAACCCAACCAAGCTTCCAAAGCTTTCATGCAACAAAACAGGAGAAGTAAAAGTCTGACAACTTACAGGCTCCAAGCAAATGAAATCATCAAGCGACCTGAAAAGCTTTAAACAGAATCGATCTCAAGGTTATAGTTTAAGCAGACTTACAGTTTTTAACATAACTTTAAAATGATCAAACAAACATCCTCTGTTGTTAATACATTTATCCAACATCTCCTCTCTGTCTATTTGTAGGGCACCTCCACCCACGCCTCCTCCACTCACTTAGCTGTCTTGGACGACCTTGACGAGCCGGTCAGAACTCACCACGGCCACCCTGCCTCCACCAGGAGTAAAGCCAGCAGCGTTCACAGCAAGGCCAGCTACCACGGCAGCCTGCGCCGCACCCGAGACGACAGGTAGAGCGGATCATCTTTAACGCTCTGTTTCTCACTCTGTCAGACGGTGTGAATCAGATGAGACAGTGTCTTTCTCCTCTCTCCCCCTCCCAGGAGCGATGCGGTGGTTTACCGAGGTACAGAGGAGCGCAGTTTCCATGGCAGCATGCCACGTCTTGACCACCCGCTTTCCACTCACAGCAGCCTCCATCACATAGATGGCAACTCACGGCACGCCAGCCAGCGTGACGTATCTGAAGCCCCGTCGACCCTCATCACCCACGGAACCACGGCGAGTAACAGTCGAGTTGCTGAGAATGACGGCACTAGTGCCTGAAAACAATCACAAACTTGACAGGAAATCTTTGCCAGGACGCTGTTTGTCTTTTCAAAGAAGATTTGCCGTCAGCAGACACACACTGCAGTGTCTGTAGCGTGTGTGAAGATGGAGGATGTACCAGTGCGTGCTGTGGTGGTGAATTTTAGTTTCAGTTTATCGCTGTGCAGCTGTTGGTTAACACAGGTTTAAGCTGGACAGGTATGTTTACACATTTGAGTTGACAAAGCAGTTGACTCCTGATTGCGAAACTCAAACAGCTGAACCAACATGATAAACGCACCTCCTCAGACTTAAGTGACATCTGTGTGAGTCAAGATGTTATTCAGGTAAAGTTTAAGTATCTCGTGTTAAAAAATGGTTACAGGATGTTGCAGGTTTACTCTGAAAGATTCATCTTGGATTTAGGGGTTGGACACCAGAACATCGTGACACGTCTCTCGTGACACGTCTCTCGTGACACGTCTCTACTTCCAAATAAGGATCTTGAATCATCTTGCAGGATTTACAGGAATATTGTTAAATATGTCACCGGTGCAGAGTTTTGCTTTTGTAACAATCTCAACTGGTTTGTCGTCTCACATGAAACTTGACTGATGTCAGTCAGATCGAATTATTCCATGTTTTTGTTTCTGCAGCTCTTAATGATGTTTATCTTCGCCTCATGTGACATTTTGGACCTTTTTGTGGATTAGTGAGATATTTTTATACTGTGAAAATCGTGTGTGTGTGTGTGTGTGTGTGTGTGTGTGTGTGTGTGTGTGTGTGTGTGTGTGTGTGTGATAAACACACAAGTGGTTAAATGTGTTTGGAACTTCAGTCACTCCCTCTGATGAACAGATAAACATGATGGAGGGAACTTCACCCAGAATGTTAAAGGGTTGTCTTCAGAGCCAGAAAGATAAATGAACTAGAATAATGCTTGTGCACTTACTTAACATGCACAGAGGTTACTCCAGCTAAACCTGAAATAATGTCAGCACTGGACCTTCTGCACAGAGTCATTAGCTTTGCAAGGGAAGACAAGTAAGACAATAGTTTACACAACCAATGCTTATTTCATTTGCCAGCCAATCTTGATAATACAATCTAAATGGAAGAAGCAGAATAAGAGTCATGACAAAGTCTAAAAGCCTCAAAATTGCATCACAATCTGAACTTCAACAACCTCTGTCTGTGACCCAGATTCAGGAAGTCGTCCATCAACGCAGCTGTATAGACTGAAGTGTAATTAAAAAATGGAAACCAATGACAGTGCTTTTATTTTTATATCTGTCAACATACTCGTGGCAGAATGGTTTTACCAGTTGCACTGATGTGAACCGAAACTGCTTCTGTACTGTGCTCTTTGATCATGTGTGTTTGCATTGTTCAAACTTTATCCAGAAACGTACAGAAACATTCACATATCAGGATCTATATGTTCTCTGACATTTATTTTCTGAGGAAATGTTATAGAGTTAAATGTATAATATCGTTGTCTCTCTCTCATTTGTTTTTTGTTCCACAATCCCTAAAGTTAACCTACCTCACCTCTACCTTCAGCCTTCTCCGTACCTGCGTGCGCACACACACACACACGCGCACACACACACCCCATTCAATCATTATTGAGTACTTAAAAAGCAAAATGCTCATTTCAGTAGAATTTGTGCTTATATCTAAAGAATCTTGAGAGGCTATAAAATGAAACATAAACCAAACAGACTTTTTAGTGACTCATGGGTTCTGCCTGTATCACACACACACACACACACACACACACACACACACACAAACATACACTAGGATCAGTAGCTAGCTCCATCCCACAGTTAGCTATGTATTTTTTTCATTCTACCTCTTCAGTTGAAACGTACCTTGATGACTCTCTGGCCTTTCACTGCTGCCTCTCTCCTCCTGTTTCTGATCATCTCTCTTCACCTGTTCACTCGTCTGCCTGCATATCTGTTGTACATAGATCTTCTATCCTCATGTGGTGACTAACCGGCCTCACATCTGCCTCCTGCCTCTCCTCCTGTGAATGTGCCCACACTAATCTTTTTTTGGACCTACACAATCTGCCTGTACTGTTGCAAGTCTGGACTGCTGACAAACATTAACCATTGTGCTTCTACACCGAGAGATGCTGATGGTAAATACGACACCATGAAACATCTCATTCTTCTCATCAGTCCGCACAGCCAGACATTTCATCAACATCATCACAGTGCTTCACAGTGAACTGGAGTAGCTTGACAATATGGCACATTAGCAATCATGGTTTAAAAACAGATCAATATTGAGAAGTGTGACACTTGAGTTGTATTTGCCTTGTAATTTATTTGCAGTTTGGGACTGTAATGACTTGTTTTACATGCAGTCTAATAAACATTTTATAAACTTCAGTGCTGTTATTTGTATTGTGTTGATTTGTTGTTCTGTTTGTTGGAGTTGTGTATTTATTCTGTCCAACTAATCTTGTTACCAGGCCTCAGTTTAGTGAGCACATTACCTAAACAGGATTGGTCAGTGGCATGTTGTACTTCTAGAGTTAATACAGTGGAGCTCTTAGAGACAGCTACTTATAAGTGACATTACTTTCAACCCGCTCAAACCTTGTATAGTGCAGAGATGTTCACCATCAGCCAACGGTCATTCAGTCAAGACCAGATTCCTGATCGTTCTCTTTTCCGACGGACGATGGCGGCGACATCTTGTTTGAGCGTGGAGACACTTTGTTCCAGCTGCTCTGAGAAGTCTCTCATCAGACGACTCTGCTCATCGATAAACAGTCTGAGCCCCAGCAGGTCAGAGTCCTCCTGGAAAACACACAGAACAGGCACACAACAAACAGTTCATCAACGGTGCGCTCAAATCAACGGACGTTTAGGAAGTGACACTATAAACTAACCAAAAACATACAGCGTTCTATGTTCAACAGCTTAATACAAGCTATGGACCTTTCATGCTCCTATATCCATTTTAAATCTCCTATTAAGACGTAACATTACAAAAGGATTTTCATATTTCTTAATCATTCTGACACTCAGGAGAGCTCATAGCTCTGCCAAGGCCCAATAACCCTTAAATTCAGTTTCCCCCATTGTTAGTGTGTGTGTGCGCCTCAGTGTATTGTTCTCCATAGATCGATTGTTACCAGCTGCCAGTTTTGTAATAGTAGTGGATAGTAAATGCTCACTAATGCTGCAGACAGGCACAGATACATACACTGGGCCTGTGTCTGCGCAGGCGCTGCAGCTGACCCCTGACTGAGGTCATACTGTGGTAGAAAACCTTTAGAGAACGGGCAAATTCTGCGTCACAGCTGGGGCGCAGCGACCGGCCACGCCCACCATCCCCACCTGAAATCAAGAAGAGAGAAAGTGTGTGAGGAAGAGGAGGTGAATCACAAGTTCTTCTCTAATAACTTAAAGAATGGGAGAATTCTGCCATGTAACATTTTTGTCTCATAGTCTAAACTGTAAATTACTAGAAAAACATACAGTATAAAAGCAATGTGAACACTATTTTTAATGTGTGTTTTTAATTCACTGGAATGAAAGCACACTGAGCACAGCCTGTGGTGTGTTACACACTAGGCAACTAGTACACTAGTTACCGTTCCTGGTTGTGTTGAGTTGTTCTCTCAGACAGTGATTTTCTTTTCTCAGGGAAGCATTAACACTCTTTAGTTCTTCCACATCCTGCAGAAGAGCTCTCACTGAACAGCTGAGCTCTGCAGAGTTTACAGGCTGAAACACACACAAACACACACACGCACTTTTATAAGCACCATGATTTTTATAAATTGGAAACAGGAAAATACACTGTAAATGACATTAAGGTAAATAACTTTATATAAATAAACTACAAATAAAAGAAAAACACAGCCAAATATATCAAACTTGAATTAAGAATATAAACATATTTTCTTTCCATAGAAGGGATTCAGAGTTAACAGCAAACTCACCACATCGTTTGTTGGGCCTTCCTCGTCGATGATGAACACACCATCTGTAGTCATCCTCACTCCCTCCAGAGACGACACCAAATCTGTACAACCATCTGAGACAAAAGCTCCACCAGTCAGCTGCTTCGATTCTGACTGTATTCATATTGAGAGCTGTACATTCATATGACATGTGAAGGAATTTTTGACCATCCTCACACATTACAGCTGTTCCCCATCAGGAGAATAGAGCCTGTCTAACTCAACTTGGGGGTGACATTTGCTCATGTTACTGTGTTAGCATTTGTATATTGTTCCACCTTCCGGTCTCCTTGATGCATCGAGTCTACATTAACATCGTTTGCATAGGACGTCAGCTGCTGCCTGAGTTCTCCTTTCAGCAGCTTCCAGAAAACTTCCATAACAATAGTAATAATATGAATCAACCTAACCACGGTGCAAGACCAACATAGGGTGAAAAAAAAAGTTCCGAGACCTGCTCGATCACTCGTCTATTCTCACCTTGAAGGCCCCATAGCTCCAGCACGACAGCACTGCTCTGCAGGTATTCCAGCAGGCGCTGGGAGGTGTGGAGGGAGGCAAAGTGGACTCTGTGATCCAGCAGAGGGTTGAGGTTGTGCCACACAGCTGGAGTGTAGAGAGGCTGACTGCAGTCAAACAACCTGAATCTAAGAGAGCGGGAGGAAATCAACAGACATGAATCCAGAGGATACGAATACTCAAATAGAAAATTCCTCCAAGAGAAATTTTGAATGGGTGCCTTGTGCTTGCTGCCAGCTCCACAGAGAGACATTTCGTTTAAGAGGAAGGAGAGAGACCCTGAGAGAGAGAGTGAGACAGTGAGAGAGAAAGACATGTATAAAACAGGTTTCCTGATAACATCCTGTTACTATGGGGTGGAGGGGCTTATTTTGAAAATCCAGGCTCATTATAGGTTTCATGATAACATCCTGTTACTATGGGGGGTGGGGTCTTTGCACCCATAATAAATACCAATACATTATACGCAAACCATGAGACTTCATGTACAGTCCTCAGCACTGACTGTGTACCATGCAAACATTAGAATTAGTAGTTCCTCCCATACACCTCACCCAAACTGAACACCTCTATTGCGGGCCTCTCTGATCCAGCGCAGACCACAACACTGTTCCAGGACCAGCTGGAAGTCCAGTCGTCGTCCCAGTAACTCAGACGGATCGATCAGGATGTCGTCTTCACCGAGTGGACTGGAACATGACATAAATAAATAAATGGTTATTTACTAATAACAACAACTTACTGTGTGTCTTCCAGGTATTACACGTGTTGTGGGGACCTTAAACTGTTTACACTGTCACATTCTGGGGACTTGTCTGCCTAACGGTAACAAAAAGCCCAGAAACTTAAATTTTAAGTTGAAGACATGTTTTAAGGTTTAGGTTTAGGTTTAGGTTTAGGTTAAGGTTAAGGTTAAGGTTAAGGTTAGGGTTAAGGTTAAGGTTTGGTAAGGTTTAAGTTAAGGTAAGGATTAGGGTTTGGCAAGTAGTGTTTAGGGTTAGTCTCCAGGAAATCTTTGTTAGTCAATGTAATGTAATTTCCTTTGTTGTGTGTGTATGTGTGCACGCGTGTGTGTATGTGTGTGTGTGCCTGTGTATTCGTGTGTGTGTGTGCATGCGTGTGTGTCTCATACAGTCCAGTGGAGTTGCAGGGAACCAGCTGAGCTTGTAGAATGGCCTCCTCTGTGCCCTCTGACCCCAGCACCTGCAGACAGACATGATCATCCAATCATCACTCAGTGCTTATCTACCACTGTCTGTGGGTGGGTGTATGTGCGCTGTATGTTCTGTTCTTCCACCTCCAGCTGCTCCTCCAGAGGGATGCGGAAGGCCAAAGACTGAAGCCAGAGGTGAGCGGTGCCCAGGAGCATAGGCTCGACTGGATCCCAGAACGGGTCTTTATCTCTGGGTAATGCAGCTGCAGACAGCCCCTCCACTCTCTGACAACACGAACACAAGAGGAATCAGTTATTGATGTAAAATAATAAACACTGTGAAATAACACTTACATTATTATATATTATCATATATTATATGATAATATGCTCAAAGAGGTGTGAGTCTCCTCTACTCCCCCTCTAACCTACAATGTGTCTCTATGTTCTCTGGTTACATTTGACTGAATATCAAGCATCAGTGCGATTAAAAAAAAATACTAAGCAGGTTTAGTCATTTTCTCTGAACCAAGTTTTTAGTTTTTCTTTTAGTTCGTGCTGAATTTTTTTTTTTACACCTGTCTGATTTCATACAACATGAAATAAGGGACAGGGAAACCAATCAAACTGCAGATCTGCTGATTTGTAAATACACTTAAAAGATGTATTTCATTTACTTACATTGATTTCACTCTGTTCAGCCTGATGCTGCTGATAAACCTCTTCCATCAGGAATTTGCGGTTCACAAACTTGGCCTTGGACCACATCCATACCTGGGGAGGTAGTTCAGAGTAGTTCAGAGAAAGAAACAAAAATTCGAGTTGAAATTGGATTTATAAAAAAGATTATATGTAAAGGAGAGACAGACAGAAAGACAGAGGGAGAGACTGACCTGTTTCCTTCCCGTCGAGGTGACTCTGACAACAATCTCTTTCTCCAGATCGTGGCCTTTTGGATCAGACAGCGCCAAATTCTTGATCTCCAACTTAAACTCCACCTCCTACGAGTTTATTCATTTTTAATAAATAATGATGAGACTTGAAGAAACTAAAATACTTCTAATTACACATAGCTGCCTCCAGTATGAACAAACTAACCAGAAAGACATTCCACTTCCTTCTGTTGTCCAATTCTTTTAACATCAGAAAAAGGTTTCTTTCATCTGTCTGCCATTATAATAACATGGGGGTTTCCACACTATGCTCTTTGCAAATAAGACTAGTGACCACTACCTCCATTGAATTGTGGATGTCTTATTCACATTTATAGCATCTGTGACCCAGTGCTGCAAAGGGACAATGGGTCTCACTATTGTTTTCCAGGAGATTAATTTTGTTAATTTTGAACCAGGAAGACAAAAGGAATGTTTAAACCAAAATCCTGACTTAACTTAACTGTTCCTCTAATTACAACTATAGTCAAATAATTGATCATTTCTATGTTTTTGAGTGGGGTTCCATGTAAATGAGGTCTATTGACAAAAAATTCCAAAGAGAGGTGTAAAGCTTGACATGTGTTTGAATGATTGGTTTAGACATGGTCAACAGGAAGATAATACGAAGAAGAAAATCATCTGTGGTGAATCGGAGCATGTTACCTTGTTCAGCTCCTGGCTCATCTGATTGGCCTCTGCCACCATAGGCATCAGTTTGATGTAGTCGTAGAAAACAGCCAGCAGACTGGGGTCTGTGTGACTGCACTCAGCGCTGGACTCACCTAAACACAGACACATGATGAAATA